AGTACAACTGCGGCGGACTATTCTTTCGAGCCGCACTACTCAAGGGTGTCCCATGTGTTGCGGTGACAAACTCCATTGAAGAGGTGACTTCAATGGAGCATATAATTACAGTTGCCAAAGAAAAACAGTATCTTCTCTACGAACCTGGTAAGTACGCACTTTAAGTTTAAATGTTATCTCACAAGCTCTGTATGCAGGAGCGTGGCCACCCCCAGATGCTGAAACGGCGTTAACAGCTACTGATGTTAGGCCGAGGTCACAACCTGCACAAGGTAAGGTCACGTGAGGCCTCATGCCATTTTGATTATAGATCGTTGTGAATATTCAGACACGAGGACTGAAAAGCGCACTGGTGGCGCGTCGAAGAAGGACAAACAGACAAGCAATAGGAAAAAAAGAGGTACAAATTATATTTGCAATGGCGTGTGATCTCATGCCATTCCTTGCAGGAGACACTTCTTCAAAGGCAAAACAGGCAAGCACCAGCCAAGCTCAAACTGACAGTGGTCATAAAAAGCGAAAGCACGTTGGACAGTCGTCGGGATCAGAGGCGTTTGATTCGAAAAGGAAGAAGGGCAACGAAAAGATGATAGGTAATGCCTCGCAGTTATGGCGTGTGTGCTCATGCCATTCATTGCAGATCAAGGGCTGAGTGAAAGGAGCCAGTCACCACCTTCTGACTCAGATTCCTATGGCGGACTCCCCTTCCCCAATCTCAATGGAGAGGTACAATGGATGAGGGATGCTTTTCAAGTCAGGGCCACGTTTTTCTCATCTCGTCGTCTTCGAAGGGTGCAAGAACGTGCAGAAACCATGTTAAGACAGTCGGGTGAGGATACGGTCCTAGGTCACGCACTAAAACAGGCTATGGATGTCTTGTATTTTGAGATGGAGACTCGGCCAGATGATTTTTCCAAGATGGTCCTGGAAAAACAAGCAATCCAGCCTGAGCAGCCTATGGAAGAAATGCAAGAGGGGGATGAGGAGCCAGAGAAAGATAATGAGCAGGAAGAGCAGAAGGACGAAGAGGAGGACAAAGAAGAGGAGGACGAAGAAGAGGAGGACGAAGAAGAGGAGGACGAAGAGGACTTGGATGGTCCTCACAATGGTGACGATCACAATAACGACGATGATGATGATGACGATGATGGCCAGCCTGAGGTGGCCAAAGAGCAGCGGAGGAAGGTCATACAAGACAAACCATCAGGTAAATAATAGTACATCCATTCCTAACCTTTTACCATTTCTAACATTGTCCATGTAGGTCGCAGAAGAAATGGTAAGTAGAGATTATTCAGTTGAATTAAGATACAAACTCTAGCCTTTAGTGTCGAGGAAGGATAGTGCCAAGCAAGGGTCGAAACGTATGTCCAATCCTTCAGAATCAGCAGTGCGCCCAAGTGATATCGGTCCTAGTTCCTCAATAGCAGTTGATGGTAAATACAGTATAGTCGATTCAATGTGCTAATGAGTTTGTTTTTAGTAGCACGGGAGGATACCATCTCAATCGAAGGGAGATATTTGGACATGCATATGGATCCGCCAGTGGACTCTACTTGCCTGCAAGAGTCATCAGAGCTGGTGGAGGCTACTATCCATATCAACGCCAAGCAAGCTGACCACGCTCCACTTGATGCTGCCCATACCACTAAGTCAATCTTGTCCACGTATCCAACTGACGGTGACTAGGCGCCATTGGACCCGCATGAGGCCGCCCCAGCCGCCGAGCCGGTCGTATCCTCATTTCCAACGTGTGCCCAATCGTCTGACTACGCGCCATTGGAACCTCCCTACACCGCCCCTGCTGCCTGTTCGGTCATGTCCACTTTGCCAACGGAGGCACCAGCTGAAATGGCGTGTGATCACACGCCATCGGAACCACCCCATGCCACTGTTGAGCCAGTTGTACCAGAGTCTACAGCTGAAATGGCATGTGCCCACACGCCATCGGATGCGATTGACCCCACATTGCAGAGGAGAGTATTTCCGCCCTTCACGTTTCCTCGACCAAAACCCTCTGAACGACCATCGGGAGCACCATTCGCTAATATTGTAGATGGTAAAATTGACTTGTACCATTTTTTATGCTAACGCATTTCATTTCAGAGTCACGGCGAAAGTACTGTATCGTTTTTGATCTGAACGGTGTCCTTTTCTCCCATGAGCGTGGCTCGTCCTCAAATGTCACTGCACCCTCCAAAGCCTGCGGTCGCAAGTTGGTCAAAAGAGACAGATTCACATTAATCACACGGGAGAAACTGCGGGATCTAATAATGACCATGCGACACTTAAAACAGAGGGCCGGGTTCAATTTGCAATTGGGAGTTTGGACATCCATGATGCGCCACAATGCATTAACGTTGCTACAGATGATGCACGATCAGACGCGAGTAATATTACCATTTGACTTTCTCCTAACGCAGGAGGATTGCTTGACTATGGTCCATGTGAGGGGTAGCAAGCCCATTTTCGTCAAGGCAGAGGCTGTAGTGATGAACCGGACTGCTAGGTCAAGTGAAATCCTCATCATCGATGACTCGCCGATTAAAACTGCAGCGAACACGCACACATATGCAGTGCACCCCATCTCTTGCAGTATGGAAACTAGGGAGAAGAAACCGTATGTTCTGGGGGACCTTGCAAAACGGCTTGAAGCGATGGTGATAGAGAACCGGCCAGTCCAGGAGGTGGCTGCAGAAATCAACCAAATGGCAGATGGAACGGTATATCAGAAGCCATTTGATCGGACAGACACCAGTCATCATTTATGGCATGTATATTGTCTAGCCAAGCACTATCCGCATCTCCATAATCTGCTCAACCGGATGGGTTCTTCGACCACTGAACATGAGCGTGGACGTATTAGAGAAGAGATGGCATTACTATTGGGTTTAAATCCTGATAGTGTGGAGAGTGATGAAATTCCAAGATTATTGTATAGGCGTTGGAGGCAAAAAATAACAGTCTGAGATGGCATGTATTTATTTAAAAATGTAACTTATTATGGCATGGGGTTCCATGCCATTGTATTAATATTAAAAGACAATTCTTTGAGAGGATTTGCATTATACTAGAAGTGTTACAGCATGTTATTGGAAGTCTACGAAGTTGTTTTATTAATAAGGGGAAAGTAAAGATTGAATGGGGACTTGGGCTCCACCTAGACTCGGAGCAACTGAGCCAATATTAAAAGGATGGAAAGAAATTGGACGACGATGACAAGGAGAAGAGAGAGGTGAAGCAGTGAGAAGTGATTGAGTAGACATTTCCTTGTTTAAAATAAAATGGCATGTGCCTCAATGCAGTTGAATTTTGTTATATTTATATACTATATAAAGGTTTGGAAACCTTATTTTACAAGTGGGATAATGACAATTCCCACTTTAACGAAATAGAGCTTACAAGCATTCTTCCACTTGTCCGAGCAGAGTCTGCCGAACACTTAGGCCGCGTACAAGTGGGACAACAACGGCGCTACAACTCCCATCATCGTCCACCTGCGGAGTACAAAGTGGATGATTTGGTGTTAGTCCGTTTTCCCCATCTTACGGTACGTGGTTTATCTAAGGGGCTCCTTGCGCAGTGGAAAGGACCGTATCAGGTGTTGCGGCAAGTTGGACCGCAAGTTTATGAGGTTCGGCATGACGTTCAGCAGGCCGATCCTCCGGAGATTGTGCATGTGCAGCGGTTAAAACACTTCATACAAAGGGATCAGGAGCAATTAATACCGTCTACAGATCCGCCGATGCCTCCTCCTGATGTTCCTCCAGATCCCGGCCCATCTACAAGAGAACCCTGACGGCCTTCCATTATTCCGAGAGGAGGGGATGATGTGAGGGCCAAGTGTACGGCTACGATGCCGTATACTAATATTAGCGTAGTGGATTTTGGTAGCCGTCGGATTGGTTTCAATCCGGACCACTCGCTCCTGTATATAAGCTAGGGTTTTTGGGCTAATTGATATGCACATTTCTGTATTCCCTTTCCATATTCCAGGCACTCACAAATTTAATTTATAAACTCATTTATAATAAATATTATTAAGTTTTGTAATTTTAGTATATTTATAAATTTAAAAAATTAAAATTAAAATCATAATAAGAATAAGAATATTTTAGATAACTTGTAAAGAATTTATTAAAACTACAAAAAGCTTTTACTTATAACTAAGTGAATTATATATTAAATGATGTATATCTTGTACTCAAAATAAAGATATTAATAAATATCTTAATAATTTTAATGTTTATTTTTATTTAAAAGAATAAAATAATAACTTTACATTTTTATGGAAATAATGAGAAGGGTATTAATAAATAAAAGATGCTGGATCATGAAACATTTTGATTATGAATATTTATATTTTCTTTAGATTTTTATTGTTTTACTTACATAAATTAAAATGTTTATACTTAAGTATCATTTTGCTAATTTTCTAATTGAGATCAAATAATATATATGTAATGTTATGAATAAAATCTTTATATTTTTCTCATAACATTTTCACCATTATGGACAAGTATATATTCAATATTATAAAGCAAATAAAAGTAACAATAGTATGTTAATGTAATTTTATTGTTACCCTTTATCATTTTTACTAATTAAAAACTATTATTTTATGAGTTTTACAACTGTTTATTTTATTAATGCTATATTATATACTTCAATGTAAAAATGACTTCAATTACTATTTTAATTAAATTTATGTTATTGTTTCTAAAGTACAAATAGATTATGTCCCTTTCATGATTAATATTATAACAAGAATAAAATTCTAAAAACTCAAATTTAGATAATCCAAAAGCCAGGTTTTCCTGTATGAGATCTTGCAAAATTAATCCAATAGCTAGAATTGTTTTAGGCTTCTAGTTCTAATGGTTGAGATTTTAAGATTTTAAATTTGGATATTCCGAGCCATTCTGAAGTCATTTATTTATTTAAAATTAAATGCTTGGAATTATAAGAACCCTAGTTTAGCCATGGTGGATGGAGAGGAGGGATTCCAGGCTCGTCTACCAGGCGCTTGTGGACGAGGGCGTCAAGCCGAGCATTGGCGTTCTTCTCGCAGCGATCAAGGTATGTAAGAATTCACGGGATTTACAAACCGGTAGGAGGATTCACGGGGATGTGATCAACAACAGGGAATTCTCGTCTCACCGCTTCGTGGCAAGCGCATTGGTGGACATGTATGCGAAATGCGGCCGACTGGGGGATGCCAGGAGGGTGTTCGAGAGCATGAGCTCTCACGACTTGGTGTCGTGGAATTGCATGATCCAAGGCTATGCTCAGAGAGGGGAGATGGATTTAGCACTGGAACTCTACGATCGGATGCAAAGACAGGGCTGCGATCCAAACCGAGGGACGCTGCTCGCTGCTCTCAAGGCATCCGTGAGCCTGGCTGAGAGAGAAGAAGAAGAAGTAGAAGAAGAAAGCTCGAAAGTTTCTAGACGAACGAAGCGTGGACAGTGCTTGGAAAGAGGCCGAGAGATACACTCTCACGCTGTGAAGACTGGCAACGAGCTCGATCCTTTCGTGGCCAACACTTTGGTGGCCATGTATGCAAAGTGTGGAAGCATGGAAGAGGCTCACGAGATTTTCGACAAGATGAGGCAGCGGGACGTGGTGTCCTGGAACTGCTTGGTGATGGGATACGCGAAGAACGAGCAAGGCGAGATGGCTCTGGAACTCTTCTCGCGGATGGAAGAACAAGGCTGCCAAGCAAACGCTGTGACTTTTCTCGGTGCTCTCAAGGCTTGCGTGAGCTTGGCTGAGAAAGAGCAAGGCACGCTCGTCCAGGGAAGGGTGATAAAGTGCGAGTGCCTTGAGCGAGGGAGAAGGATCCACTCCCGAGCTGCAGAAACTTTGGGACCGGATCTCTTCGTGGCGAATGCTCTTATCGATTTCTACTCGAGGTGTGGAAGCTTAGACGAAGCACGCAGTGTTTTCGAGATCTTGGACAGGCGCCGAGACGTGGTCTCATGGAATTCCATCATCCAGGGGTGTGCTCAATCTGGAGAGGGAGATCTGGCTCTAAGTTTCTATCGAGCTATGAAAGGTGACGGCTTCCAGCCGAACAGGGTGACGGTTCTTGCCGCGTTGAAAGCTTGTGTGAGCTCGGCTGAAAAAGAAGAAGATGGAGATCCGGAGAGCAGAGTTTCATCGGCAAAGTTAGCTCGAATCCAAAAGCGTTTGGAGCAAGGCCGAGAGATTCACTTCGAAGCAGCCAAGCTTGGACTGGACTCCGACGTTTTTGTGGCCAGCGCGCTCGTCGACATGTATGCCAAGTTCGGGAGCTTGCCGGAAGCTCGCAAAATTTTTGAGAGTATGAAGAAGCGGAGCGTAGTTCCCTGGACCGCCATTATCATGGCCTATGCTCAAAACGGCGATGGAGAGATGGCTTTGCGACTCTACTCACGCATGGAAGACGAAGGCTGTGCTCCAAACCGGGTCACCGTTCTCGCTGCTCTCAAGGCTTGCGTGACTCTGTCGGAGAAAGAGCCCGCCATGAAAGAGCTCTCGCTGGGAAAAGGAAAAGCTATACACCGGCAGGCCGTGGAAATGGGAGTGGACTCGGAGCTCTTCGTCGCCAACGCTCTCATCGACATGTACTCGAGGTGTGGCAGCATGGCGGACGCGTCTCAAGTTTTCCATGGCATGAAGGCTCGAGATATCGTCTCCTGGAACTCCATCATCCAAGGATTTGCACAGCGGGAAGGAGGAGATCCAGAGACGGCCTTGAAACTCTACTCGAGAATGCGGGACGAAGGGAAGTGCTCGTCAAACCAAGTGACAACTCTCGCAGCACTGAGAGCGTGTGTGATTCTCTCCGAGCGGGAAGACGCACGAAAGCTAGCCGATGTCGGTGTGAAAGTCAAGAGCTTGGAAAGAGCTCGAGGCATTCATGGCGGAGTTCTCGGGAAACCCGAGACTTTGGTGGCCAACACTTTGATCGACGTTTACTCGAAGTGTGGCAGCATGAGCGATGCTCGCCAAGTCTTCGATGGTATGGAGGAGAAGCAACGTACCACAGTTTCGTGGACGGCCATTATCATGGGCTACGCGGGGAATGGCGATGGCGAAGAAGCTCTGGAGCTGTTCGAGCGTATGATGAAGGAAGGGAGCTTTGCTCCGAGTGAAGTAACTCTTCTCGGTGCCTTGAAGGCTTGCTCAAGCCTTGCAGAAAAAGAAGAGGCGATTTACGTCCAAGGCAAGGCTGTGAAAGCTCGTAGCTTGGAACGGGGAAGATATCTTCACTCTCAAGCGATCAAGCTTTGGAACAGGGACGAAGAGCTCAACGTGTTCTTAGCCAATGCTTTGATCGACATGTATGCAAAGTGTGGAGAAATGGTGGAAGCCCAACAAGTCTTTGACGAACTGGACCACCGGAAGAGCGTGGTTTCATGGAACTCGATGATCCAAGGCTATGCTTACGCTGGAAATGGTGTTAAGGCTTTGGAACTGTTTGATCGGATGGATGTATTCCAAAGAGATGGAGTAACTTATCTGGCAGCTCTCAAGGCTTGTGCGAGCATTGGAAGAAAGAGTCTTGGAAAAGGACGAGTCATACACGAAGAATTTATAGGAATGGACAATATCAATGACAATAGAATAGATGTATTGCTGGCTAACTCGCTTATAGACATGTACGCGAAGTGTGGAAGCCTGGATGAATCCTGGATGGTTTTCGAGAGGATTCATCCAAAACAACGAACAATCTCTTCGTGGAACTCTATCATTCTTGCTCATGCTGAGAGTGGCGAGGAAGAACAGGCTATGGAGCTCTACTCGCAGATGAAAGACTTGGAAAACTTCCAGCCGGATGCGGTAACTTATTTTGCGGTGCTCAAGGCCTGTGGGAACTTAGCAGCGCTTGAGACTGGCAAGAAGATCTGCAACGAGATTCGAGAAGTTCCAGGGAAACTCCAAGATCAAGTGATGCTCGCAAACTCTATCGTCAGTTTCTTCGCGAAATGTGGATGCATGGACGATGCCGAGCGAGTTTTTCACTCGATTTCCAGGAAAAACATTGGCTCCTGGAGTGCTCTCATCGCCGGATATAGCTTCCATGGTGACACTGATCGAGTGTTTGAGCTCCTAGAAACGATGATCCAGGAAAAAGATCCTCGCCTCCTACCAAATGAGATGATCTTTCTTTCAGTGCTCAATGCTTGCAGCCATGCTGGGCTCGTCGAGAAAGGCTTGGAGCTCTTTGATGTGATGCGCTACACGTATGGGATCCCAGCAGGGATCCACCACTACGCTTGCATGGTGGATCTTTTAGCTCGAGCAAACAAGCTTGATGAAGCTTTGGCGATGGTGGAAGGCATGCCTGTGGAGGCCGACGCAGTGGTGTGGACGTCGCTGCTGGCTGGAGCCACGAAGTGGAAGAATGCAAGGATTGGACGCATTGCATTTGAGAAAGGATTGGAACTAGGTTCTGGCAAAGATCGTGTAGCAAACTTGATTCTCATGTCTAATCTCTATGCAAGCCTTGGAAGGTTTGAGGAGGTGATAAAGATCCAAGACATGAAAGAACAATTACATAATTCATAAAAATAAAATTCTAATTAAAACATTTTTATAACTACTTTTTCTATTTTTTAATAATTATTAAATGAATTATGGAGTTTAAATGAATAATGTATTTATTATTAAATAAGAAATGATTTGAAATACATATTCAATTAATCTAAAAACTCTAACTGAAATAAAAGTGTTAAACAGCTGAGGTCAAACTTTAAATGCTTACATTTGCATTTTTTATTAAAATTTTAATTTATGTATAAGTTATTAAGTTTCATTTTGCATACACCATATTATACTCAAATTTAAATTTCATCTTGGACTTAGGTTTGGGCTGGAATGTAAACACGTGGGGTGAAAGTTTAAAATATTTATCTCCCTAAAGTGTGATAAATTGTGATTTTTGAAAAGTTAATAGGGATAAAAGAATATTATTTTAAAGAGGTTTAAAGTTTAATTGGTAAACAACATATAAAATATAATTAGAAAAATTATTTAATAAAATTATTAGTCATTAAATTATTAGATTCTATGTAATACTTTTAGTTTTTTAAACAGTAGTAAATATATTAACAATTAAAGTCAATAAAATAATTTAATAGTTATTAATGAATGCTTGCTTCAATGCCAGGCTGGCACTGTTGGCAGATTTCCCAGGCAAAGGACATTGAGCATATGGAGCATGCTGTGAGCAATATTTTTATTGTCTAATTTGTTAAGTGCAATAGTAGTAATTTTAGTAAAAAAAAGATTTTTTTTAAATATACAGGCAAATTAATGAGATATTTTTTGGAGCATAAAGGAAAAACACACAAAATAATGTTTTAAACTTTTAAATTTAAAAGACTTTTAACCCTAAATATTCCAAAATCCTTATTTGATTGGAAAAAAAAATGCATTTTGCATTTCTATCATTTTCAACTATAATTTCTCAAAAAAATATCCAAGAGTTAAAATTGTCTATAAATAATTGTGTCATGTTGCTTTGGTGAATATGAGTGATATGAAGCATAATCCATCCTTGCAAAACAGTCTCTTAATGTTGATCTTTGGAGCCAATGTTTGCATTGAATCAAAGCTTTGTTGTTCGAGTCCCTGGAAGTTAAACCCTACTCTGTGTTTTAGGGTTTTGGCGCTATGGCGGAGGACTCCGAGGAGGAGTGCGGCGCGCCTGACGACAATCGCTTGCAGGTAAGCGAGAGTTTCGGAGAATGCAGGATGTGTGACCCGCGATGCTGTGTTTTTCCCCTCGGAAGTCTTGCTTTGTGCTTCATAGCTCGAGAAGCAAGGCGAGGAAGGACAGGGTTGTCTCGCGCCTTCTTCCGGATGAGCCTGAATGCTGCGAGCAATGGCGCAAGGACGCGTTTGATAAATTCTGGAGGCACGTCGAGAGCGTTGTCGAGGTAGAAAACACGTTTTCCTTCGAGGTTCTTTAAATTTTTTTTCTTTAGTCTACCCTCGAGGATGGAAATGCGGATTGTTTTAGCAGCATTGAGCAGTGGATTTGCAACAGCCAGTTTTGCAAAGAGCAAATAAAGCTGTACAGCTTTTGCAACGCAAGCTCCTCTCGGCTTAGTTCCGCTTTGCTGTTTTCAGGTAATGTTGTGTTTTCCTCCGTTGTTTTAGTGATGGATCCATTCTTTTCTCTTTTTATTTTCTTTTGCAGGATCCGTGGACTCGTCTGACACGCATGCCATTTTCGATGGCCTTTGCTCGCATTTGCAGAAGCAAAATAGGTGCCGTGTTGCTCGCTTGCAGCCTCACCTTTTACTTGGCAAGCATGGCGTGAATTCTCCTCTGCGAAGCCTTTTCAAGCAGTTCACCGGAATCACTCCTGAGGTTTGGCTCTCTTGTCTTGAGCTTGAGGAATCCTGATGTTTACGTTTCAGACTACAGACATGGAAATTCTTGCTGCTTGGCACCAGGAATCTTGTAATGAGCAATATCCACTGGTTGTCATTGTCGAGGACGCAGAGCATTCCCACAGCTCCGTCTTAGCAGAGCTTGTAGTTATCTTGAGGTTCGTAACGTTGTTTCTGTGGCTTCCTGTTCTTAACTTAAGGCGCTTTCTTTTCTTCGTTTCCAGTGAATGGGCTGCACAACTTCCTCTTGTTCTTATCATGGGAATGGCAATGACTGAGGACTCGTTACAAATGATGTTGCCAGCGAGTGTGACCGGACGACTTCATGTTCATAGTTTTTATTTGAAATCGCCTCTTCACAGGCTAGAAGCGGTCGTGCAGGCTGTTCTGATTGACTTGCCTTTCGTTTTTACCTGGGGAACGGCTGTGGTGAAGGACTTCTATGAATTTTTCTATTCGCATGACAACACTGTTACTTCCTTCCTCAGACTTCTCAAGGTACTTTATAATGTCTATTGTATTCTTATCCATTTTATTAAACAGGTTTCGTGTATGGAGCATTTCTCCAAGCAGCCTTTAAGTTTTTTGTGCGTAAATCTCGTCGATTCTACAAGTCAGGTCACGCCGCGCGAATCAATCTCATGGTCCTGACTCTTGGCTTTCCAGGTGGAGTTTGAAAAGTTCTGCAAGAAGCTTCCATCTGCACACTTGAAATATGCGTCCATTCTTTCACCTTCGCAAGGGTGATTTTTTGCTGGTCTTTTTCCCGTGTTGACGCGCGTCCCGGCTTTTTGGCAGTGACGATATATCACAGAAGATTGCAGCAGCACTTTGGAGCTACAAAGCAAATAGACGGTGTTGGAGCATGGCTTTTCAGGTGAGGGCTTTTGAGCTTTTGTGTGTTCCAACTTCTATAACGTTATTTTTTCCTGCAGTGTTTCCTCGCAGCTGGGTTACATATGAACTTTAAGTTTGCAGACGTGTATTACGGGGCGCTAACATCTTCAAAATTCTCTGCAGTGGTCAAGGACGAAAATGTTTTGTCTCTGATAACTGAGAGAATGAAGTAAGTCTTATTCCGGCATATAAGATACGCCTGACTTCTTTCTGCAGATATTTAGCTGTCTCGACCATGTCGGAACTTTTAAAAGAATGGACGTTACTGACTTCTCATAATGGACAAGTAAGAGAGACGCACTGATTTCTGTAGTAAGCTGCGTCGGTTTGGTTTGCTAGTGCAGCAAAGATCTCGAAGCTCTACGCAAACAATTATCGTCGACCGATCCAGCGGATGTGGCTCCTCCATTGCAGTCATCTTTCTGTGGCACTCCCTCAATGACAACTCGTAGGATGAGAGCTCTTATGGGCTGCAGTTCACCACCCGGTGTTTCACACTGCAACGATCCAAAGCCAACGGAACAGCCGAAAGGGTACGATATGTTTTCTTTATCTCGTGACGCAGCTAATTCAAATCGAAGTTTAGAGACCAGAAAGCTAAATCGATGAGGATGGCAATGGAGTTTTTGGAGCGCCTGCAGAGGTATTTGTGGTAGAGTCTTGGACAGTAGCAGACATTTTGCTTGATCTTGTGCAGGGATTACATTGTAGCACCTGAATCAATACCATTTCATGATGTGTTTTGCTTTAAGGATGTGAATGCACTGAAACAGGTACTGATTTCTCTTAATACGTTTTCAAGGAGCGCGCTCATTCATATTGTTTCAGGCAATGACGGGAGAAACGCGTAAGCGTGTCCATTCGGACCTTCTTTCGTCGCAGGCCACGCTGAAATGCGAGTGTTGTCCTAGTAATGGCTCTCCGGCGTTCTCTCTCCACGACACTGCTCTTGCGTAAGAGTTTTTGTAAACTCTTATGTTTGTTAACTCATAGTTAATTGTGTGTAGGTACGCTCTGTCCCTTGAGCACAACGAGCTTGTTAATGTCCATGATTGGTACCAATCCTTCGAATTTTTGCATTCTGAGAACAAATCAGCTGAGACAAGTAGGAAGCGAGGTGCGAAGCGAAAAGTGTTTTCAAGCTCGGAAGGTGAAATTCCAAAGCCAGCGGTAGCATCCATCCAGTAAGTGGCTCTAAGGTTTTCGCTTTGTTTCTTTTCTTAACTTGGTTAAAAACAGGGCCAGATTCTGCAAAGCTGTCGCAGAGCTTCATGTCACGGGGCTCCTTCGTCTTCCCAAGAAGCGACGTCCCGATTCCGTGCAAAGGATTTCCATTGGCTTCTCCTCAGAATCCTGTACGTACACGTCGATGTTTTCCTTAAGATGTGAATCTGACCACCCCGCGTGTAACAGGAGTTCGTCATCACGGAATTCTTTCACGTACCTCCGCATGCCGCAGTGCTGATTATTTAAGAAGCACGGAGATCAGCATTTGTGAGGCGAGCGAGTAGGAAGATGAAGAGGATTTCCATGCTGCTCGTCGTCGCCGTTATGGCAATTGCGATGTATGGAGCCAGTGCGGACTACTGCGACCTCACAACGCTTCTTCCTTGTCTGTCATCCGTGATTGGTGACAAGCCAACGCCTCCTTCGGAAGAATGCTGTGCGGTCGTGAGAGTTGTGGATCCCGACTGTGTGTGCGGTCACGTAGGAGACGATGAAGGCATCACTGGAATCAACGTCAAGCTGGCGGCTCAGATCCCCAAAAAGTGTGGGAGGCACGTCCCCAAAGGATTCAAGTGTGGAGGTAACTTTCTCTTATTCGGGCTTTCTTCTGATTCTGATATGTTTCCAGATGTTCCGGTTCCTTCGTGAGCTCTGTGTAGTATTTAACCTGTCGCATTGATCTACTCGTCCTGAGAACATTGGTTCTTATGAATACGAGATGGAACTTCATCGAACCCGATAAGCTTTGGCTCGAGATTGGTTTCCTAGATCCATTTGATGATGCAGGTAGTTTTTCGTGCTGCGCTCTGTCGAGGTTGGTTAACTATGTCTTGCTCTGAGTTTTCATTTTCTCATCCTGGAACTTGAGGTCAGCCTCAAGAGGGCAGATGAGAAACGAGTATCATTCTTAGATTATGGCTGATGTCGCTCAACTTGCTGGCTCGGAAGCCATGGAGAACAACATAAGGCTTCCTCTCTTCTTCTCGTGTTTATGATTCTAACATTCCATAGACCGATTGTCTTCTGGCACTGGCCACCCTTCAACATACTCCAGATGAGAAACTTTCAGAGAGGAGTTGCATGCTTCAAGGACTCGAGCTGACCAGGTTTGACTAGTTGTCTGGACTTTTTGTGCTATCAGTGTGTTCCTTGTTAGCATAAAAACACTGCGCAAGCTAATGAAGAGCTGGAGGAGGCAAGTTCAAAGAGGAGGTGAACACTTATATATGCCGCTAATGGCGTTTTTGCAGGTTACGAAATCACAGGACACTGTTTACCACTGCTTCTGAGCAGCAGAAAACTTCTCTCTCTTTTTCCCAGATTCATGCGCTTAATAATTTCGTTTTGCAAAACCGTTTTCTTTTGGATCGTGTGGAAGCAAAGCATATAAATTCAGCCAAGAAGGACCGCAGGACGAAAACCACCAGGAGTTCGTACGTGATTTTTCTCTTCCGAATACAGAGAAGAACGAATTTGTCTTGTAAGCTGGCTGTTTTCTTTTTACAATAGCTTGAGGTTCATAACGACCTTTGCGGACAGTGATGTGAGGAATTTTGGGTGCTTTGGGTATAATTGGCTGAAGCTACGCTAAACGTTAGTTCACAGGTTAAAGATCTTGCACGGAAGTCAGAGAGCCACTGAACTACTGATCTTGTGCATGAATGGTGCAAGAGTTTCGAAAAGTTTTTCGATGCACGCACAGGCTCAGATGCGTCTGCCTGGCGTGGAAAGAAGCGGTGGACCACAGGGACAGCGATAGGTTCTTTCGCCAAAAGAGAGGAGTTGCGTGAAGAAATACTCGACGTGTGAAATCCTCAACGATCATTACTTAAGCAAAAAAGCAAAGAAAAAAAAACTGGATTTGTCAACTCTACCGATTGCATCTCATGGATCTTAACGTCGTTAAGAAACAAAAGCTTATAGCGGATCAAAATGAAAAGCGCAAGACTGCTTCAAGACATGAAGAGCGTGGTAGCCATGTCAAAACAAAAGGACATTACAAATGGCATACATAAATCCATACCAATTTTATTTATTTTTGTTTTTAAGTTTTGTAATTAATGTTGATACTTTTCCAGCCAAATGATCCACATGCAGAAAATCTAGAATGCATATACGTGTTGCAATCCTCTTGGTTGTAAAGATCTGCTGTGTTTGTGCTTCCATCTGGGTGCCACTCAAAGCCATAACTGGATGAAGGATCTAGGATCAAAACCAAAAAGAAAAAGAAAATTAATAAAGACTAGCATTTTTAACCTAGATGTGTTTTTCTTTCCTTTAAACACATCTAGCAAGTTTGACTTAATCTTGGTAGTATTTCATTTAATTGAACTAATGATTGAGACATTTCTATAAGACAGAAAGAATTAAATAAAGATTAGTCTATAATATATTTAAAATCTGCTTTGCCAAGAAAGTTTTGAGCTGTTTCTATAATCTAGCTTTCTCTGCTAGCTTTCAGAAACTTGATCTTCAAACTAATCACGCTATCTTACATGGAGAACTTGATAGAATCTGATAAGTTTTGAGCCTCGAACGATTTCTCGAATGACGGTGACGATGTTGACGCTACTTCATTTCCAGAGTTCCTTAAAGGTGCTCGTCCCGGGCTCTGTTGCAAAGGCATCTCTCGGGACACCGTTTTCTTGCTTGTGCCTGCTCGCTGCATCAGTCCAGCCAGTGATTGCACCACCTCAGACATGGCAGGTCGATCCACTGCTTCTGCCTGTAACGAAAGAAAAAATGGATTCTCTACCAGGTACATACTTTTTTCAGCTTACTTGGATGCACTGTGTTATGATCTCGGCGTAGCGAGAGAGAGCCTTGGCAGCATACATGCCTTCGAGCTTTGGATCCACAATGCTTGCCAAGCTATCCAAGTCGTTGAGCTTTGGAACGGCCCATGCTACCAGAGAGAGCTCCTTGGATCTCGGCCTTGAGCTACAAAGTTTAGATCACCAAGTAAGCTTTCTAACTTTCCTTTTGCGAGTTACCTGTCTAGAGGCTCTCGGCCGGTTAGAAGCTCCAGCATCAAAACTCCAAAGCTATAAACATCGCTCTTCACTGTGTAGATTCCAGCCAAAGCATATTCTGGAGCGCTGTATCCAAATGATCCCAACATTTGGGAAGAAATCTATCGAAGTTAAAACAGTGAGAAGTTTTTCCTCTTGATCTCTCGAATTTTTACCTGTCTTTCCAGACTGAGTGGGATCAAAGCGGCCAGGCCAGTGTCAGACACGAAAGGATTGAATTCCTGGTCGAGTAAAATATTTGCCGATTTGAAGTTGCGATGGACTGTCACTGGAGAAGCAACCTCATGCAAGTATCTTCAAGATAAAAAAGAAAATGGTGATTTTTTTGGTAGAATAGAAAAAAAAAAGAAAGAAAAAAAGACTTACTCTAGAGCACGAGCAGCACCCAAAGAAACTTTCATTCGCTGGTTCCAACTGAGATTTTTCTCGGGAGAGGAATGCAAGTGATCGTGAAGAGTTCCCGTGCTGAAGTATGGATACACGAGAAAACACTGGTTCTTTTCCACGCAAAATCCACATAGCTCGACTATGTTTCCATGTCGGAGGCTGGAAATGCTGGATATAATTCTTCGTAGAGTTTCCTCGTCTTTAAAATAGCTCGACGTGCTATCCAGTTTTTTTATGGCAAATACCTGCTCCATGATCTTAACGAAAGTTCTTATATGAGAGCTTTGTTACCTGGCCGGAAGGAAATTCTGCTCGATACACGCTGCCCAGCAATCCCTCGCCGATCAAGTTGTGCTTTCCAAAGTTTCGAGTTGCTGCTTGGATCTCCACGCACGAAAACGAAGCTGCTGCTATGTGATGATCCAACTCTTTGGCTTTTGTTGACAAGACCAAGTTCCCGGACGTTTTCTGGATTGGAGGATGGTACTTTTCCATTGGAAGTGGTCGAATGCTTGACAAAGTTTGTTCTTTGTCACCTTTCTCCTTGCCTGAAACAAGAGCTTTAGTAGACAATAGTTTGATATTTTGTTAGACCTGGAGGATCATTTGATGGTAGTGAAGGAAGAAGCTTTGTGTTTGTGGAAGTTTGCGAGCCATGATCGATGACCCTCTTGAGCTTGCTTAGCGTGAAAACAAAGAATGTAAGCACGAAAGCTACCACGATGGCTCCGGTGATGATTCCCGCGAGCTTTGCTCCTGTGAGAAAACTAGAGCTAGTCTGGTAAGGTTTGAGTGATTCATGTGGTCGAGGACCTTGCATTGGCAATGCAGCGTTTGTTCCTTCGTGGCTGGAAGATGGATTGTATGGGAAATCATCAAATCGATTTCCACCACCCCTATAATGTCATATTTCTCCAATGTTAATGATATGGTCAAGAAGCTTGCCTGAATTTTGGAAGAGATTGTAGGCCAACAGGGAGCTTACCAGTAAAATCATTGTTTTCAATGTTTCTGAGCACAGATATTAGTAAAAGCACAAGAAAAATAAGACTGGGTCTTACAAGTCTTTGAGAGGTAAATGCTCCAGAAGTTGTAGTGTTCCATTGAGTTGGTTCTGCTGTATATGCCTGTTAATATTTATCTAAGATTCTGGATGAAATGTTTGAAAATCTGCTTGAATTTTCTTACAAGGTTGCCAAGCCGCTCAATAAACTAAATGAGTCCGGGAGCTCTCCAGTAAAATTATTATTTGAAATGTCACTGAATTCAAAGTTTTTTAGCAAGACTTAATAAAAAAATTAATTTGCCAAGACTTACAAAGTGTGAAGATTAGAAAGCTTTTCAAAAATATCAGGCACATAACCAGAAAGAAAATTGGTGCTAAGATTCCTGCTCCAAATCATGTAAAACTTAAAAATTTGTTAGTTAACTCTTGTATAACTTACAGGCTTGTCAAAGACATCAAGCGTTTCATTGAATAAGGAATGGGCCCAATAAAAACATTGTTTCCCAGATTCCTGAAAAAAAAAAGAGACCACATTTATATTTTTAAAAATAATATCCTTTTTCTCTTGATAAAATTTTCATAGTTAAAAAGACTTACAAATGAGAAACACGAGCAGGAAATTCGAAGGGCAGCGTTTCACCAATGTGATTGTTACTCAAGTCCCTTTAAGAAACTCTTTCTCAAAGTTAGTTAAAGCTTACAAAATCTAGACAAACTTACAAGATGGAAAGGCTTGTGAATTTGTTGAGTGCGTAGCCCAAAGATCCTCGAAGCTTTAGACCCGAGAGTCGTCTGAGAAGATGAAATTTACGAGACAGTGAGCTAACATAATAGTTTTCTTCCAGATCTTACATTGCAATTACGTTGTCCCCAGAGCATTCTACACCATGCCAGTGCTCTCCGCAAGGATCTCCTCCTCCATGGGGCTTCCATCCAAGCACAGAAGGTGACCGGAGGCTCTCGTATAGAATTCGCAATGCATAGACTGATAAAGCAAGGGAAGAAATGTTAGACAAGAATGAAACCATAATCCAGAAGAAAAAACAAAAAAAACCATCTTGTGGATCCGTGAGTCCATCACTTGCTTGTGGAGAGAGGCTCAAGATCACACCAAGAGCGAAGAATTGGAGCATCGCAAGAGCCGAGCTTTCATCTCACATAAACTCTCATGTCTGGATCAAAATGCCCGTCTTTGCAACCAATTCCAAAAGTTCCAGGCAAACAAATTCTCATGCTGCCGCGCTTGTGATCTGAAAGAGACCTCTTTTTCTTTCCCATCCAAAGTGGTCCCAGCAAGCCACTTTTATTCTGACAACGAACGCTACATACGAAATTTTCGATCATCCATCATGTATCCAAATGGTGCAAAGCGGCCAAAACATCATTCCAAGAGCACAAAAAATCCAACTCACAGCTTGAGTTCCAAGCATAATCCAAGACCTTGCATTGCACTCTAGAATTTACATCACTCCATAGATTTATATCTTGAGCAAAAGATATCTGCACCACTTGGAGTGGAAAAGCTTATAAGATTGAACAACAAACTTACATTACATACCTTGCAAAGTATATATATATATATTTTTTTTTCAAGAGAAATCGCGATCTGGGAAGAGGAGCGGTGCGACGAGTGACCAGACGTAGAGTATGGCCGTGAGCCACTGCGTGCAAATCCGGACCCAGACCGATGGCCATCCAACGTCGATGGTGTCTTTGCCTTCGGCCGAGTTTCCCCACCCGGTGAGCAGCATCGCTGAGTACATGCTCGCCAGAGCGAAGATGAGGTGGAAGAACGAGTAGACGTAAGTCACGGGGCGCGGCTCGTCCTTCTTTCTCCTGTCCTCTATGTCGTCAGTCTCGTCGTCTTTGAGCAGAGGCCTCTGGCCTGCAAGTGACAGCTTTTGGGATCACAAAACGAGAAAAAGGAAAGGCAAAACAGACCTGCTCTGGGAGACGATGGTGGAGAGAGGAATGTGGTGGAAGAACCAGCTCGAACGGCGGAATATACCACGGACAACAGCGTCGTAAGCATACCGAGAACTAGAGTTCCGGTGGAGACGACGTTCTCGTGCTTGTGGAGTCCATTGCATTCGTAGTTGCGGGGCTCGCTGGAGAGGGCGCTGTAGCATATGTATGTGCAGTAGACGGCAATCACAGAAGCTGGCAATAGACTTCCATTCACCTGCGAGGGAAAGTAAGAAAATGGTTAGCTTGAGAAAAAAAAAAGAAAGCTTTTATGCTCACCTGAGGATGGAGGGAAATAACCGCGAATGCTATGGCCAGGATGATCGTGGTGACAATGAAGAAAGTATTCAGCTGGCAGTCGTGACCACTGGGATTGAACCAGCGGAAGAGCAAACCCGAGAAGACGAAGCTGATGGTGTAGCAGAAGATCGAGATGAGCAGCAGCGCGATGTACCAGAATTGCTCATCTTTCGCGACCCAAGCTGCGTTCCAGTTGTGTGTAAAATCCAAAAGTATGATCACCTGGACGAGAAGGAAGACTCCGGATCCAAACCTCGAGATAGCTCCTGCGAAGAAAAATGAAAAGAGGTTTTTAGAGGAAAGAAACAAAGAGACCAACCAAAGAAAAAAGGGAAGAACTACTTACCGTAAGCATCGACAAGACCATTTGGCAAGAAGAACATGAGCACCATGACCGTGAGCCAAAGTATGAGCTTCGCCATCCAGCCACCGTGATGCCACGAATCACGTTGATCGCTCTGGTTCTTCACACCGATCATAACGATCGCGAAGGCCAAGAAAAAAAGGAAATTTCCAAGGCTGACACGAAGAACTGCCTGGGTACCAAACCATTCCTTGTTGGGTGTATGCGCGAACGAATTGATCCCTGTAGGGGAGCTAGGTTATCCACTAGAATTCTCGGGAAAACAATCACTTACATGGGATTTTCTCCAGAACCGGATACCCGAAATCGCGGAGGATCCACGCCAAGAGTAGCGACAGCGTGAAGAGGCCGCAGTAGGCGATTCGCGCCGATCGCCTCGAAATCCCTCCGGCGACGCCCTTGCAAGCCTCGCAGAGGCACGATCCACAGCAAGACGCCAGACAACCAGCTGCCCACATCGTCGCTCGCTTACCCTCTTTCCCAAGAACCCTAGAATGTGTCAAAACAAAACTTTCCACCACGTGTCAGCCACGTGTATAGCTTTCAAATTACTACTTTTGCCGCCAAAAGTTTAGGGTTCTTGAGAGAACAATGCCGGCGACGAAAGGGGGCGATAGCGCAGAAGGTAAGATCGCTTCTCGCTGCTTCTAGATCTCGCCATTTCACTCTATCTTCTCTCGAACAGCTATCATCCTGAATTTCATCAACGAGGTAAGTCGCCACGCGCGAGCATACTGAAAACATTTGGGGCTTGATTCTTGCAGCAAAACAGGCCGCTCAACGTCCAAATCGTGGCGGACACGCTCCAGAAGCACGGGATCAAGAAGACCGCCGCGCAGAAGATCCTCGATTCTTTTGCCGAGAGTGGCAAGATCTCGTTCAAGGAGTATGGCAAGCAAAAGATTTATCTGGCAAAGCAGGACCAGTTCGAGATCCCCAGCAAGGAGGAGCTCGAATCGATGAAGGCCGACATTGCCAAGCTGCAAGAAAGCCTTGCAGCCGAGAAGAAGATCGTCGCTGGCCTTGAAACAGGTATGAAGAAAAAAAAAAGTTATAGCTCTCTTAGACTTTGGTTTTTTTATCACAGAGGTAAGATCTGCCGAGTCGAGCTTGACGCTCGATCAAATCAATGACCGGATGAAGATTGTCTCGGACGAGGTATGATCGTTTTTCTTCTCGACGAAGCAAACGTGGTGACAACTTTCTCTGTGCTAGATTTCATCCATGGAGTCCAGAATCACCCAGCTACGAGCTGGGACGGTCCTCGTCACTGCCGAGGAACGCAACAAGGTGGAAACCGACTACAACAAAAAGACCGGGCTATGGAGGAAACGCAAGAGGATGTTCAAGGACCTCTGGGACATGATCACGGAGTCGATGCCCAAGAACCAGAGCGAACTCAAGGTATGATCAGTGGTTTACTAGACAGACCCCTCTCAAGCTAACAATGCAGGAAGAAGTCGGGATTGAGACTGACGATGATCTAGGAATCGACATCTCAAAGTACTGCTCCTACAAATTCAAGAAAGCCAAGCTCCGGTGAACCAAGTAAGATACATGCTCTCGTATTGCACCGAGTCAATCAGCAATGCTCTCAAATGGCGAAGAACTCACAAACCGTAGCCAAAAACGGCACGAATCTTGTGGAAAATCAGCTCCTTCCAGCCTCGACGAGTGGTCTCGTAGACAGTCGCATTTCCAAACCTTTGAAACAAAACCACTGTAAGCATCACACCATGGCACAAAAAAAAAGAAGGCTTTTTTTCTACCTGTCTTCTTCCGGGACGTCTGTCTGTGTCAACTTAAGAACAGTGGTTCCAATCTCTGGCTCCTCGAATGTCATGCACACCTGATCATCAACATCAAGAGAAGAAAAGAAAGTAAGAACAAAACAAAGAACATGAAACTTAGAACAAAAGGAGAACTTACAGTCGAGTAGTGACCATCGTTCCAGTTCGCAAATCTCCACTTTTGGACGATCAGCCTGTTCTCTTCCAGCTCCTGGTTCACCCCCGTCACCGCTCCATCGAAGATCGAAAACATGCCTCCCACTTCCTTGCTCACTTTCGCATTACTCTGCGTGAATCCCTTCCACCGGTTCTCGTCCAGCAACACCTCGTACAGATCCCGAGGCCGGCAGTGGAAGCGCTCAGTCATCGTGATGGTCTTGAATCCTTCCCTGGCTTTCGCCTTTGGTGGCTCCACCGGCTTGGCCGAAACTTTCTCGTCGAGAACAGGCTTGTTGGATCCCTTCCCTTTCACTTCCAGGTTCTTGCTTTGCATCTCCTCCTGAGCCGGGCCTCCATTCGCCATTTGCTTCACGTAACTCGCAATGCGCTCGAGAACCAAAGGCTTTCCTTTGGCCAGGAACGCTTCCTTCAATCTCTGCCCGAGGGAAGTCTCGTCCATGACGCTCACTTTCACTTCCGGATCTTCGTCGGCATTCTCGTCAGCGATATACGGCAGCTCCACCTTTCCCTGGACCGTTGCTAGACTATTCCCGCTACCATCCTTGGCCTCTCCCTCCCAGTTCATCACAGCACTGATCTCATACCCGGGGATGATCTTTCCTTTGCGGATGTTCACGTAGGCCTCGCCCTTGACGCTCTCCACCTTGGAGATCTTGATCCACAGGCCTCCCTCGCCGGATAGAACCACCAGACCCTCGAAGAGTGCGTCGAATCGCTTGCACGTCCAGTCGTAGCAATCCTTCTCGGACCAGTGCCAATTGTGGACATTGGCGCCGTCTTGCCTCTCCTCCACGATCCATCGCTTGTCGCCCTCGCCAAACTTGGCCATGGAATCAAATCCTCGAGAACGGAGGAGATGCGATACAAGAGCAATGGAACTGCCAGAGATTCGATTGCGCGGTGAGAATCAGCTAGAAGATTGCGATCGGAGAAGAAGAACACTCACCTCCCGCGTCTCGGACGCTCGCTAAATGGAGCCCTAAAATAAACCTCGCAAGGAAACTTCTAGAGTGCGAATCCAACGGCAGAGATTAAATCAGATCGTAACTGCTGGTACGAAGTTCGATTCCCATCCGCAACGAAATAAAGTAAAGAACAATGCCGCGAATATTCGATATTTAAATAGAAGAAGTTTCTATCCAAGCCATTGCTCGGCGCTGCGATCGCCGCCGCCGCCCACGGCTTTGCGAATGCTAATTTTCTCGTGGGAGTAGTGCTCGCGGTACTTCTCGAATGATGTCTCGTCCAGTTTGCCGCTGGAGCCCTTGCCTTGCTTGCGCTTCACTTGCTGCTCCCTGACGGACACGCAGAGCTTGACGATTCTCTCGCGCTGGGATTGATCGAATCGGTTTGTGTTGTCGAACGCGTGCTTCGCAGCGATGTCTACGATCGTTTGAGCCCTGTTGGAACGAGAAAACCATGAGAAAACTAGACAGAATGAATGGGAAAACGAGTGGAGCTACTACTTACCATGCCTGCTTGTAGCGTTTAGCAGCTATTGTCAAGCACTCGATCAAGGCTTCTCTCCTGTCCCTTTGCAAGTTTTTGCCTCCGGTGGTCTCGTTTTTAGCTTTCTTCTTGCACTTGTCTTCCTTCTTTGGCAAAAGAGCATCCAGGCCAAACGGATCCACCTCTTCGGCATCAGCAGTAGATTCTGGATTTGACTCCACGGCATCTTCTGCCACTGCCTCAGGTAGAGCAGTGATGAGTTGCTTCAGTCGTCCAGAAGCCTTGGAAAACTGCAAGAAGAAACTCCTGTTAGCTCGTCAAAGGAACGGATTGAAATAATTTCACCTCAGCCGTGATGCATAAAACATAACGCTAGAATCTGGCAAACACGCTAACAAAAGACTTAGTATGCAAGGCGGACCTCGAAAAACTCACCACGAACGTGTCATCGGTGTAAAAGTCATTCCCGAGTTGTGCCCAAAGAGCCCACACTTCGATTTGTTCTTGCTGTGAAGGAGTGAAGGACTGCAAAACAGATTCTGTCTGTTCTAAAGGAAAGAAACTCACTTAGAGGTGCTACTTACATTGAGTTTGTCTTGCACAGCCGAAAAGAGCTGCTGGTAATCCGCTCGAACAGCTGCTGCGTTGGCCTTAGTTGGAGGACTCATGGCGACTTCAAGCATCTCAAAGAATAACGTCGATGTTTCGTCGTCAGCCACGCTTCCAGCGTCAAGCAGCTGCAAAGCGAGCTTACAAGCCTTGGAGAACTTTGACGGATTCCCGATGTGAGTTTTGATCTTGTGCAAAGCTTCGATCACTTTCTCCTTGCTGGTTTCAGTCGTGGTCTTGAAACGAACCTGTTTAGCACCTGAAAAAAAAAACACACACACACACACCTTTTAGAACACTGATCGAAAATACAAACTCACACAAGCAAAAAAGAAAAAACGAGATACCAAACAAAAAGAAAAAGAGAGAGAGGAAACGCTGAAAAAAAATGTAAGCGAAGAAAAAATTCATGGAATATAGAACACACAAAAACGTTCTACCTTCAGCCGGATCTTGAGGAGCAGGGCGCTTGATCGCAGGCTTGGCCGGCTCGACCGATTTGAGACTTCTGGAAGCACTCACCGGTGGTGGCGGCGACACCGATTTGGCTGGTGCTGGAGCTGAGGGAGGAGGCAGTCCTTCGAAGAGACCTCCGCCATCGCCATTGCCCGCCATCGCCTCTCCAGAAAGCCCTAAAATTTCGCCCTTGGCTTCTCTCTCGGTTTATTTATAGTGAGGTTCGAATCGCATTGCCGCCTTGCTGCTGCTCGCTTTGCCACTTCGCTGTGAAAGACTTTAGAAAAGAGAAGGAAAGAAGAAGAAGAATCGCTGGAAACCTGGGTGAAATCACTTCCTGCTGCGTCGATCCAGGAACTACTCGATGAAGAAGAAGATTGCGAAACCTCCAATCGATCAGCATACCTGTTTCGTGCCTGGAGAAAAAATCCAAACGTCGAAGTTAGTGAGCGAAGTTCCAGAAACATCTCGCTAAATTCTTACCGCTTCCGGTTGCGGGCATGACTGCCTCTCAAAACCATCGACGATAGCTTTTCCTTTCCGGAAAGTCTTCAAAAGCAAGACACAAAACAAAGTTTAGAGATTGGAAGCTTTTTTTTTCTACGTTTTGGGCGAAGAACCTGGGATGAGGAGCTCATAAGCAAGTTGGTATTTGGACTGGGCTCTGAAGATCTGAAGCCTTTTCCCTGCTTTGGATTCTCGATCGCAGCTTTCAAAGGAGAAACTTTGGACATGGAACACGAAGCACTTAGTTCTTCCCCGGTTTTCTCAAACAGTCCAACAATGACCTGTAACAAAGGAGAACTTTAACGAGAGAAGAGAACCAAAGCAGAAGAACTACCTCACGAATCACAGGCTTGACTCCTTTCAAGAACTTCTCCACTCCAAGACCGATGATCTTGTAGACTTCTGTGGTCACTTTCATGGCGGCACTGCGAACTTCACCGTTTGGATAGTTAAAACAGTGGACCACGAAATGCATCAGAGGTTCTGTCGCAAATCCGGTAGATCCACTCCGACCCTGCGGTTGCAAACCAAATTTTGGTATTCCCACCAAAAGCCATTGCAAGCGTCCCAAGATTGGTTTCCACAGTGCCTAGAAAGAAACCATGTAACAAACTAAAGAGAGATTCCGGAAAGCTTACCAGAGTTTTTGGAACTTTGAGCATCAGAGGAGCGATCACGTTGAGTCCGGCTTCTTTTACCATCGCAAAGAACATCAGAGTATCAGCGGCAGCTTCTTTGGTTCTTGCATTGGAATCGCCAAGTTTATCTCGAAGAATCGATGCAATGTCGCCCAAACAGGAGTGAAGCTCTCTGCTTTGAACTTCGGCCGCATATCTCGTAACATACGCACGCAACACCTGTTGTTTGAAAGCAAAGAGATTGTGATAAAACATCTAGTGAGAAAACCAACCTGAATGGAGCTGAAGAAAATATTCGAGACTCGATCGTTCAAGCCTCGAGTTACAACTTTGTGGATGGCTCTGCAGCAAATCGATAAAGTCAGATCATGATTTTCTCTGTCTCGCTCGGAAGAATTTCTACCTGAAAGACGTGACTGTATCAGACATATGGGATTTGGACTCGAGCTCTTTTTCCAAGACTTGGAGAGATTTGTCACGAAGCTGCCAATGCTTGCTGAGAAGACATTCCAGATGATAGCGATCCATCACGGTCAAGACGTCCGAAAACTCCTTCACCACCGTTTCTGGAAGAGGCTCCGGTGTCAAAACCTCGTCGCTGCTGCTGCTTTGATCATCTTGAGAGGTTCTCATCTCAGTTACCACTGAAAACAAAACTTGCCACTTTCTGCTTTCACTAAACAGAAAATATGCTTACCAGTGTCTTCGTGCAAAGCCTGCCTATAAGTTGGCCTATCTTCTTGTTGCACAAATACGGGCTCTGGAGCTAAAGTTCCAGACGTTTGTTCTACGGTTTGCTGAATATCATTGTCGTCTATGCCATGGATGGGAAGTTCTTCCTTGTACTCGTCTTCCGAAACTTGCTCAGAAGTCTGGGTCGAGCTATCACGGCTTTCTCTATGAACCACACCATTGAAATCGTTTTGCTGGAAAGGGTTATGCGTTGTAAACAAAAAGAAGAATAAGACCAACAAGAAATCACCTTGTTCTTTGCAGTGCAAGGAATCACATTTGACAAATCTCCCATGTCGCTTGTTTCGTCTTCAGAATTCTCCGAGTTTAATTGACGCAGCTTTTCTATCTCCAACTGCAAAGCAGCGAGTCGAGTGTCAGTCTTACTAGCAGAAAGATTGTTATTACCTTGCAGTATTTGGCCTGATCATAGTCCTCTTCTTCCACAGCCAACTTCTTCTTTCGTTCCAGCTCTTTAATTTGTTGTCCCAACGTTTTGAGCTTTTCAATCAGCAGCTATTCAGAAGAAGAAGAGAGTTAGTCAACCATACAGAAATTCAATAAGTATGTACCTTAAGTCGCTTAGCTTCGTCGTAATCTTCCTCTTCCACGGCCTGCTGTTTCTCCTGCTGCAGCTGAAGCAGAAAGCTAGCTATGCCATCAAGTCAAATACTTAAAATGAAGCAGAGAATTAACATACCCTCTGGATTCTTTGCCCCGTAATGCAATCAACGTTGGCAATCTCGCTGACACCGCCTCTTGGTTTCGTTTTCTTCTCCAAAATCTTCTGTCTGGAACAAAAATCCGAGACAAAAGATTTTCAAATCATACAGCTTTGTGAACAAGTCGGGAAAAAAGAAAAAAAAAAACCTTGGACTTTCAGAGGGTATTGTGTGTCGCAACTGATGCATTATTATTTGTTCTTCACTCAAAGGATCGCCAGTTACCACGAGTGCAACTATGCCAACCTTTGCAGAAGAAAATCGAATACATAAAGAGTAGTAATAAATGAAAGAAAGGGGGTGAGAAGAACATATACCTGGTTGTAAACATTTAGCTTGTTCGAGTAGCAATTGTGCAGTACAAGCCGCAGCGAGGAGGCAGGCGCGTTGATCTGGATGCTTTTCAATTCACGAGCCTGAAAACCAGTTCGTTCGTTTGGATCCAGCGATAGATGACTGATATGAAATCACAAAATCACTCGAGAGTAAGATCATTCGTTTGTTACTTTTGTTACTGCTAGCATACCCGAGTCTTTTCATCTGCTTGCTACTCATCTGCTCGTTAGCCAGAACACTAGCGAAAATTTCCACCTTGGAGGAAATCTGATAACAAAACAAATCAGAGCGCTGATCATAGCTCAAGAAAGAAAAAAAAAAAAAAACTAAAGAGACACCAACCTTATATTCATGGCAAAGTAGCTGCATTGTGAAAACATGAGATGGCCACTGCAGCTCAATCACCATTTCTTGAGGGTATTCGCAAAACCTGAGTGAATGGAATCCAAGTCTTCAAGAGAATAATTTTTCTTTTGCTCAAACTCACCTTTGCGCTTGCCATCCTCGACCAGATGCCCCTTTGCTCAGCTCATTCGCAGGAAAATCATCGTCCTGGAGCCAAGAAAGTCAGAAAGACGAGACAATCCTCAGGAAAAAAAAGACTACCTGTCCAGAGCAAGAGACGACGCTGAAGGGCAATCGCCTCTCGTCCTCAAATGGATCGTCCATTTTGAGGGCATTTCTCACCTTCTCGTGGAGCACATCCTCCACGCTGTTGATGAGACAAATGCGAACCATAGCCGCTCCAACTAGCCCTAGAATAAGTTCCAACAACAGTACGTAGTAAAATATACCAAGAATATGATTGCTCATATAATTTAATTTTTATTATGATGTAGCAAGAAAAGCGATCTACACAGAAAGTTTTGAAAAGAATCACTTACCATTTTTATTTGCTAACAAATTATTCAAAAAATCAATTACACCAAACTAGATTACTGTCATTATTTGCTACATGAGAATCCAAACCAATAGATGCCCAGTGCAATTTCTTATCATGCCCTCTACACCAACCTCCTAGATTTACAAATTATCCTCCCCATGGAACCTTAACAGTGATAATCGTCATATCATAACAAGAAGAAGTGTAACCATTTCCTGGGGTGGCAAGAAAGGCATCGTCGTTGCCAATATAGATATTTAGATTTATGGAAGTTTTCTTTAGCCATCCTTTGTTCCACTCGCAACGAGCAGTCAAGAAACCCCCAAAACGTTCATATTTATAAAAGTGACAAGTTCTTGAGAATGAGCCACAGCCAGCCTGCTTATATTATAGAATATAGAGTTGTATTACTTAAATTTCTCAAATACACACAACCTTGGAATGTGGTAAAATTAAAAGCCACATAACGGCAATCCAAAACATTCTACGGGATATTACTAATAAACAAACAAAACATACTTTCACAATTAACAATGTTATTTACATAAAGTTCGTGGATAGCAATTAGAAAATAAAATTCTGACGAGAAATCCATGGCCGCAGCTTTAGCAACTGTAGCTATGGTAGCGCTTTCGATCGCCGTGGCTGCTCTCTACTCGAGAATTCTCTCGACTTCACGCCTTGCTGATCCACTCCCACTGAATTTTCCTCGTCCGCCATCAATCCACGATTTTCCAGAGGCCAGGGACGAGATGGAGCGAATGGAACGCATCGGAGAAGGCTTGATTCCAGGAGCCGAGGACTTTGCTGTCGACCAAGATGAAAGATACCTCTACGCAGCTTGCAGCGATGGCTGGATTCGTCAGATTGATCTGGTCGATCACAGCGTCAAGAACTGGAGCTACGTCGGAGGAAGGCCGCTTGGAATTGCTGCTGGTTTGTCCAAGGATGAAATGCTCGTCTGCGAGCCACAGATGGTAAGCAAAACTTTGAAAGAGTCTAAAAGAAACTTTGCATACCTTTTGTTGAGAAGGGACTGCTCAGTGTCACCGAGAATGGAGTCCGAGTTCTTTCCGGCCAAGCAGACGGCCTCAGCTACAAGTCCGTTAAGTTGCTTTCGCTACCACTGATCGATCTTCTTCTGTTTTGTTCTTCAAGGTTGGCCGACGGACTGGATGTTGCTCGAGACGGGACCGTCTACTTCACGGATGCAAGCACCAGCTATGGCTTGCACGACTTTGATCTCGACTTGCTCGAAGGCCGTCCATATGGTCGACTCTTGGAATACAGTCCTCGCACGAACCAGACCACGGTGCTGCTGAGAAGCTTGTTCTTCCCCAATGGAGTCGCTCTCTCCGAAAACGAAGACTTCCTCGTCTTCTGTGAGACTTCCCAGTAAGTCTGGTCCTCCGCCTGTTTATCCTTCATTTCTTCTGTTGTTTTCCCAGAGCAAGATTGCAGCGGTACTGGCTTCGAGGAGATAAAGCTGGAACAGCTGAAGTTTACGTTGACAATCTTCCGGGACTTCCTGATAATGTGCACCGTTTTGGAAACCATTTCTGGATAGCTCTTCTTGGAGTAAGTCTTACTGTTTTGAAGATGCGTTAACAAAGCTTTTACAGGGACGCTCTTTCTTGTGGGAACAAGCCCTGAAATTTCCACTTGTCAAACACATTCTTGGAAGCCAGAGGTTGCTACTACATTACCTGCACACTTCTTATTCCAGAGTATTGACTGTCGACGAAGACGGCAAGCCTTTGGACATGTATGAGTCGCTCCAGAGCGAGTCCATAGGATTCATGACCACAGGAATGCGCGTTGGAAACTTTCTCTACCTCGGCAGCCTTTCAGCGAACTACATAGGCAGAATTCCCGTCCAAGAATAAGACGTCCTCAAGCTACAACAAAAGACATGGAAAGTATTAAGAACGCAACATGGAAAATTGAAAACTATTCCTTACGTGCTCGGCATTTGTCGGGAGCTTATAAACCATCCGTGACTGCCGCACGCATAACTGCAGGAGGAATGCCACCCTTCTTGACCAAAGTTTGAGCTAGCTTGTCCGCCTGATCACCCATTCCAGCCTTCCAGAGCCGCCGTATTATCGAGTTCACAGTCATCAGCTTTATGAGACCTTTGTCGACCATCATGTAGATAACTTGAAAGCCAGGCTCCAGATTCTTCAGCCTTGACAAGATTATGTCCAGTCCTTTCGGAAAACCATCTCGCTGGTCAGCGAACTGATAGTCTTCAGCCATCTTTCCAGACCTGGTAAAGCCTTCTGTTAGAGTCTTGTAAGTGACTGCAGTTGGAAGGCATTTGGCGTCCACCATCGCAACAAAAACTGCGCAAGCTTCCTCAATCTTCACGACCTTGCAGAATCCGTCGAGAAGAATGTTGTAAGTGACAACACTTGGTAGGCCTTCGTCTTGCATCTCGTGAAAGAAAGCAAGAGCCTCGCCCATCTTTGCTGCCTTACACAGCCCGCCGAGCAAGGAATTGTAGATGTGAGTGTTGGCTTTGGATCCCATCTGGCCCATCGAAAGTAGAAACCAGCGTGCTTCGGAAAACCTTCCAGACTTGCAAAGACCGTCGATGATAGCACACGAAGTGACCACGCTTGGAGCACTCAAGCTCGAGCTCAGTATCCCTTTGAGATGCCTGCGAGCTTTTTCCGGCCTGTGTGTCTTGTAGAGACCATCTACGATCATCGTGTATGTCCCTGTGTTTGCTGGAGCACGCCCCTTCCTCAACGTTTCATGAAGAAGCTTGCAAGCTTTGTCAGCTTCCCCGCTGTTACAAAGCTCCTCGATCATCAAACAGTAGACTTGAGAACTTGGTTGGCATCCCACTCGATCCATCTCTTCGAGCAGCTCCAAGGCTTGCAAGCTCCGTCCCGACTTACAGAGCCCATTCACAAGAGTGCCAATCATGACAGGATCCGGAGCGCACTTGTTCCCTTGCGTAACGTTGCTGAAAAACTCGAGTGCCTGTTCCACCATGTCTAGCTCGCAAAATCCAGCAACGATACTGTTGTAAGTCGCGGCGTCTGGATTCAGACCCCTGCTCGTCGACATCTCCTCCAAAAGCCTCAATCCATCCTCCACTCTTTTCGACTTGCAAAGCCCCTGGATAAGAATGCCGTAAGTGACAGCGTTGATCATAGCTTTGTCCTTGCATCTCTCGAAAACCAGCTCTAGAGCCTCGTCTACTCTTCCGGCCCTGCACAGCCCATCGATCAGAGCATTCGCAGCGGCAAGCGTTACCATCGTGGAGTTCCTCTTGGTTCTCTCCGCCATCCGTGTGAAGAGCTTGACAGCCTTGTCAAAGCTCCCGGCCTTGCAAAGCCCCGCCACCAGCGTGTTGCAAGTCACAGCACTGGGCATCCATCCCAGGTCCACGATCATCTCCTCCGCGAGGTTGAAAGCATCGCTTAGCTTCGCCACCTTGCAAAACCCATCAATCAGTGTATTGTACATGGCAGGGTCGACTCCACTAGTATCAATCACCGACCTGAAGTGTTCCAAGGCCTCTTCCATCCTCCCAATCTGGCAAAAGCCCTTGAGAATCTCACCGTGCGTCGCTTCGTTGGGCGCCAGATCGCGAGCTTTCATCTCCTTGACGAGCCGCAGCGCCTTGCACACCTCCCCGGCCTCGCAGTAGCCCCGGACGAGGAGATTGTAGCTCGCCACGGATGGATAGTGGAGCGGCAGGAGGAGATCTGTGAATAATCTGTGCGCCTCGCCTGGACGGCCCTCATCTACGACGACGCGCAGCAGGGAATTGCAGGTCTGCGTGTCGTGCTCGAACTTGGCCTGCGTTGGCGCCCAGCGGAAGAAATCTAGCGCAATGTCGGTCTTGCGCACGCTCGCCATAGCCTCGTGGAAGATCTGCGGCGTGATTGCGAGGGAGTACCTGTCGAGAACCTCTCTGGCCGTGATTCCGCGCATTTCCGCCCCGCGCAGGAGTTCGATCAAGACCTTGACAGCCATGAGCCCTAGAAAAACCCCCGCATTAGGGTTTTAAAGAGCTACCTGGATTTTTTTCGGCTTTTATTGTACATAAAAAATTATTAATCAAATTTTAAACTTTAATTTATAAAATTTTAATAAAATTTTCAGAATGTTGAAAAAATATATTATATATTTAGAAAAATTATGATATAGTATAGATGTCCAATAGTTGATAGTTAAGAAAACACAAAATGTATATAATAGTTAATATTAAAAAATTTGTTTAAAATAATTTAGTTGTATTGGGTAAATTTAATTTGGCTTTTTAACTCTTTCTTAACAAACATTCAATATATTTGCAAGTAGGACAATAACAAGTTTGTGGGGATATAATGCTTACTTGTTAATTGCAAAGACTATATTGCTAATATTTTCACTATTTGCAAAAATATATTTCATGATGATATTAAAGAGTGTAAAATGTAACTCTTAGCATTTTGTAAAGTTAATATCTTCCACTTGAGGTACTGTACCCTATCATCACATTATACACCAACTCAAAAATATTAATAATTACTTACTTTAAATAATATATTATATACATCACAAATACATATACTAAATTAAAATATAAAGAAATCCTTAAAATATTCTACTCTATAATGCATATATTTTACATTTGGATGTATATGTATTTTTTTAATGGTTTTATAACTTTTGAAATATTATTTCTCTTGGACCAAAAAGTAAAGAAAAACATATTTTATTATATAACATTTTTAAAATTAATATGTTACAAGTTACAATTTGTTTATACTAATCTTTTAATAAAATACTATATAATAGATGATTTATTATTTAAAAGATGGTATTTGTCAAATGTTATTATAAATTTTATGTATGAATTTCTTTTAAGAAAATTAAGTTATTATCCAATATTAGTAAAAAAAACTGAAGAAAGTAAATATCAAACAAAGCTTATTAACTTAATTAACATTTAATATAAAATTAAAATTTAAAATCAGTAAATAAGCTATTAACTCAATTAAAATTGTTGTGCCTTTACACTAGACCTGTTTTATAATTATTTTATATATATAAAAATAAAAAGATATATGTTTAAGATTTAAAAATTTAAATTTAAATTTAAATTTAAATGTACATAAAAATGAATTTAGTTAAAAAATATTCAGAAAAAATATTACATAATCGAATAGATTTTTCATGCAACAACAGAAAAAGAAAACTTTTCTTCTGTAATAAGTTCTGGAAGTCATGATGGTGATTTTGCATGGTGGGAACCTGATTGTTAAGACCATCACAGATGGTGGTGCTCCCTTAGGTTTTGGGGGAGTGTCCATTGAAGTAGGTGCAACTTCAGATGTCCGCATTACCATCTGCATCTCTCAAGGAACAATGGGCTGTATGTGTATATTCTTTTGTTTCCATCAAAGATTATTAACAGTAGGTTTTATTCATTTCAGATGCTGGGCACTGGTGGATATAGAACATGACCACGCATGGGCGGCATGCTTTCGGAGATGGACAAAACAGAGGTTTTACATCTGATTGAGTGACCCGAGGCTCTGAAGGCCAAGGCCATGGGAGTGTTGAGGAAGGCCAAACTTTTTCAATGAGGCCTTTGCTAGCTTTAGTTGAAGGATTCTATTGTTTAATTCGTCTGGTGAAGCTTTGCAACTTTGAGGAGATACTCCAGCAGGATGGCAGGCTTGCTGAAGAACGGGCTGTGATCGGAATGAACATGAAAAACCCGTTTTGGTGGATTGTACTCGATCATCAAATCCTGCAGCTTGGGTGAAATCAGCTTGTCTTGTGTTGTCTTCACGAAGTACCTCGGAATTGATCCATACTTCTCCCGTGAGAGCTCAGCACTGTGGTGCTTGAAAAGCGGGCGAGGTTTCAACAGCAACTTTGCTAGAACTACATCTTTGGATGGAGAAAGGTGGTAGAGCACGTCTTGTACTAAGTCAAGCTTGAATGCCGCAGCCACAGGGGTCTTTGATCCATTGGAGTAGAAGTACACTTTGCTGTTCTGTACGGCCTTGTTGTTAGTAATAACCTGTAAGTTGACACCAATTGAACACTTATAAGCATCCACTTTGCTGCTGCTCTTGATGTATCTATAGAACAGCTTTGGCAAAGAAGAAGAGAAATGAAATCAAGCAAGAGTTTTATATGAATTTAACAAGATCGAAACAATTTACCTGGTTGTAAACAAAAGTCCCGTTGGAGCCCCTTGGAAACATATTTGCAGCCACAAACATAGCAGCTGCAATTTGGTGAGGGTATTTTTCCATCACATAGGTGAGACTGTCACCTCCGAGACTGTGACCAACTAAGATGATCTGCAGTAACAGCAAGTACTTGTTTTGGGTGAAGGCCAGCAATAAAACATAAATATCAGGTTTGTAATGTCGGTTACCTTGTGGCCACGCGGCACCGATCGGAGCAGCTGGAGTAGCGGGCCGGAGTATTGCTCCAGGCTGGTCACAGAACGGGGGTCAACTCCGTTGATCCCCGCGCTGGTCAAGTCAACGTCGCTGACCCTGTGGCCTCGCTTCTGTAGTTGATCGATTACCTTGTACCAGCACCAAGCGCCGTGGCCTGCTCCATGAACAAGAACAAAATGGGAACTGGCATTCTGCTGCTGACTCGCTGTTCGGATCCTTGATGCTGTGGAAGTACCAATTAGATTGCCGCCATTGCAGAAGAATGATCCGAACAATCCAAAGAGTAGCAGCAGCAACACTGCAACCTGATGCATCTCCTTAGTGCACTCACCGAGATTCTCACCAAATTGGAGAAGCAGAACAAGCTGCTGCTTACCCTTGAATCAAAGGGCAATTGCTACACCACACATATATATTAAAAAAGAGATGTTGGAGCTGTCAACGTGGAAAGCAAGGGAGCAAACTGTAAGGCTTTTTCTATTATGACTTTCCGATTTATGATAAAATATGCAATTCCAATTTATTAGAAAGAGTGTGAACCGTTTGTTCCTAGCTTAGTAACCATGCGCTTGCCATGTTTGGGGACAACATCAATTACTCTTAACCAAGCTTGTGCTGTTAAGCTTCAAGAGACCCTCGTGGTAGTAAGAAGCTGCTAAATCACATCAAGTCACAGTTACCCAATGTCCAGGTCAACAGCCTCCTTGATGGCCAGGCCTGAATCGAGCTTCACCCTCGAGCAGCCCACTCCATGGATCTAGCTGCCAGTGATGTCATCGGCCGCTCATAGAAGTTGATCTATAATAACCATGACTTTAAATTGAAAAATAAATAATATAAAAGAAAAAACAGTTGACCATATACCTTTTAGAAAATTCTACATTATTCATTACAATAAAAATACATTATTTATTTAAATCTCTTATAAATATGAATAAACCGAGAAACCATATTGTATTATATGGTATTGCTAGATTAAACTTTATACTAGTTTAAGAGAAACAACTTTGGTAAATAACTAATATACTAATTTAAATATAGTTTATCTCTGTACTGCATCTTTTGTGAAATCTGTAATTAAGGAACCAGAATCCTGTTCTAAACGTGAAACGTTCAAGTTGGTAGGACCGATAAATTGCATGGACCAGATAACTGTATGGAAAACGTGCACCGTATAAAACGACAAGATTTCTCTCCAAGTATGTGGCTATGTGTGTAACGTACAGAATACGGATCACACGGAAATAAAAAACGTGAAATGTGATCTCTAATAGCTCTGATAGTATAAAAGACCCTTCTCCAGCCTCTGTTTCCTCAACCCACAGAGGAGTAGAAAACATTCTCCAATCAAGTTGATCAGATCGATCAAACAGTTTTCACCATTTCGACATGGCTGCAATCGTGTTGATGATTGCGTTTCTCGTGATGGCTGCAGCATGGAAGATGGTGTGTATCCGCAAGAGAGAAGAGAGGGCACGATTTCTAGCGTCGCTCCACCCCGTGAGAGACGCACACAAGATCTTGTGGTACATGTACTCGGTGGAATTCCCCTTCCTCTCGCAAAAGGCGCTCGAGTTTGGCACAATCCGCACGCTCGGCATCCCGGGGATCACAAATCTGCTCTTCAAGACCAAGTACGGCCTCAAGGATCCGCAGAAGCGCGCCGCCCAGACCAACATTCTGGTGAGCGAGATGATCCACCACCACGTCGACAGCGATCGCGGCTCATACGCGGTGAGGAGATTGAATGGAATCCACAACAAATTCAAGATCCCAAACGACCAATTCGCCTACGTCCTCTGCCTCAACGTGGTCGGCCCCATTGATTTCTCCGAGAGATTTGGATTCCGCAAGTGGACCGACAACGAGAAGGAGGCCGCGTATGTTGTGTGGCACGACGTGGGCGTGAGGATGGGCATCACAACCATCCCAGATAGCATTCCAGAGATGCGGGAGTACATTCGCGATTACGAGGCCAAGAACGCCATCTTCACGGACAAGAACAAGAGCATCGTCCAGGATCTCAAGCATCTGGTGCTGGATGCATTTCCTCGCCCCGTGCAGCCGCTGGTCGAGACTGGGATCTGTGCACTCATCGATCCCACAATCAGGAGCGCTGTTGGATTGGAAAAGCCTCCAGCAATTGTGGAGTGGATCATCTTGGGTGCGTTCAAGCTGCTGGCCGGGAGCTTCGTCTCCGCGTTCTTGCCTCCCAGACGTGTGGAGGACGCAAAGGGCAGCATTGAGGTGGACTGGTGTCCTAATCCCGCTGCCAATCCGGAAGAGTACCGGCAGCTCAACGTGAATGTGTATCGGCCACCAGCATTCGAGAAGGGATACAAGCTGGCGGAGCTGGGAGCGCTGAAATCAGGCAAGCTTGGACCATACTACGATGGAGGCTTGCGCTGCCCCTTCCGGCAAATGCACGCATAGAAATAGAACGGGCATAGGACATTCGTTCGGAGAACAAAGCATCATTTGAAAATGCGTAGTTTACGTGAATCTTTTTGTAATTTTTGCAGAACAATATGGGATCCAAACAATTTAGAAACACGCTCTGGCTAAAGACAATGATTCTAAGATATTACAGGTTGTAGTTAGAAGTCCAAGTTGACACGCTCACTTTACACCTAAGAGAAGGAAAAGTTTGTCAAGCGGAAGGAACAAAGGTCAAAAGCTTACCTCCACGAGAAAACTTCACGTTAATCCATGGGGCCTCAGCACGGCGCATGCCCACCATCAGGTGCAAACTGCCAAACTTTCCTTGGAGTCCAGCGCCACACTCACTGGCCAATCAGGATACCCGAGTACAACTTGAGCTCTCCCACTGAGATGGCTGCAAAGCCGCTTTCAAAGCTCGGCATCCCCCATGCCTATGCAAGGCAACAGACTCTAAACACACGAACAAAACACACCTTGGTACGTTCAAGGCAAAAGACTTTAAACACACGACAAAAACTCACCTTGGAGCAGTAGTACAACCGGCCAACAGGGTGCAACCCATCCGGAATCGTAAGGTCCTTCGATAACAAGGATGCTCCCCAGGCTGCAAACTTATCCCGAACCTCCTGCTTCGTGAAGGCCTCTTCCGATATCGGCTCTCTGGGTGAGTCAGGGAACGAATGCAGAGAAGCTTCAACCAGCTGGTTTCCCTTGACCTGCACATATCCATCGATCTCAGAAATGGCATATCGCCATTCCCTCATGTCCATGGCATACACAAAACAAACGGAAATTGATTTCAAAACACGAAACTAGAAACTGGTACATACATGAAGATATGTTGGAGGTCTTGCTTGCTTCTCTAAGCTGGCAGTGATCCACGTACATGAAAACCTGTACCAGATCTTAACGCAGATTTCAGATACTAACCAGCTTTACATAGCAGATCGCGGTGCTTCACATCAATTCCCAATCTTAGTGTACGCAATCCAGGATCGGAATGCCAATCAAGCCCTCCTCAGAGGAGGTGACATCGTTAGTAGGTTGATCAATGCCATCATGTGGAAACTCCAGGTCCAGAAAAACGGCCTCCTCATCCTGTGCCTCCTCATCCTCCTCCAACTCTAAGCCCATCTCTAACTGGAACTCCCGCCACTCTGGTTCTTGCTCATCGTGCTTACACTCTGCCTTGTACAGCATGAAAAGGGCAAATGAACACAAGAGCCTAGAGAAAATGCTTGCCGGCCCTTGTCTTGGAAAACCAATGTGGCGTACACATCTTTAACCTCCAACTACACGCACGGCGCTCTCCCTTCCTGGAAACATCTTTCGATTATACCTGGAATGTCGAGAAACTTAGACACAAGACGAGGTCAAGAATCCTTACCGATCATAGGGAGGCGTGGCATCTGGGAGCCTGTACCGCTTCTTAAATTGCTCTTCAGTAATCTTGCTAGGTGACACTTGGAATAGTGGTGCTTCTTGCTGTAGCGCTGCGAGTTGTGCTGTGGGAGCAACTCCTTGAGCAGAGCCCTAATGTGTTCCAAAGACGAACCAAAACCTGCATCCCTCTGTTTCTTATGAGCTGCCCCCCTCCACCTCGTCTGACTTTGGTGACTCTCTTTTGGTGATGACGGCATTGCCGTATATGATCGCGGTCACCGACTGGGTGATTCCACCTCGATTTTCGATCTGACATTGCCTACATGGTTTGAAACAATGTTTTAGCAAAGCTTTTGAAGTTTAGACAAAGTCCATTGAGCTCAAAGAACCTAGACATGAAAGGTTCTAGGAAGAACTTGGATCACTGTCACAATCTTGCAATCCTTTGAGACTGCCCAGATGTTCGTCTGGGCAGCTCATAGTGTGGAATAAGTCAAATATTTGTCACCCAGCCTGTCAGCTAGAGCAACTACCAAACAACAAAGAGACTTGGAACAAGATCTTTCTTAGGAAGTGGCAGACATCCCTAGATTGCAGGAGTTGTGTTGCTGCTTTATGCAAGCTTGTATTACCCTAGAAAGGTGTAATGAACAAACTTAGTATATCTAACATGTGCAATGCTTCCCTGATCTCTTGCTAACACAACCTGGTTACTCTTTGCTTGCTAATGGCAGCCTCACAATGCAAAACAAGCACATGCACATGACCCAGCCTCACAGCACACTGCAGATGCTGATGTGAAATTGCTTCCCACTTTTATTCTCTACCTTTGAGATTCTTGGGATCTCAGGAAATGATCTTGTCCTCATCTTCAAACACCATAAGTAGTTTGCCATGGTGGCAGCCTCTTTGCTTGGACAAAAGTGGCATGAGTTACAAGGAAACATACACTTCTACAGTTTTCTTATTGGTAACTTTAGCTTTAAAAGGGGACTCTGTTTGAGATCTGTGACTCACAAAATAATCTTTATAGATAGAAATTTTCAAACATACATCTTGCAATATAATTGAATTAGTACTTGCCCAGCAAATACTGGATGAATATAAAAATAAATTTTATACACCTGAGTGAGAGCTGAGTGCATGTGATATTCAAGTGTTGAGTGTTCAAGTCTTGAAGAATGTTGTAGGGCTGTGTTTCCACTTTTTGTGTGACAGCTTAGCTAGGGTAGTTATTTTGGGATCAGGGACTGGTTTATCTTGGTTAATTGTAGCTGGAGGATCTGATCTTGGCTGCTCGCTCTCTCTTTTATCCTTGCAGTTCTTTTTGTGATTTTCTCTAGGTTTTCCTCCTCCTCAGCATCATCAAATACAGAGTTTTTCCTCCTCCTCAACATCATGAAATATAGAGTTCTCCATATGCTAATGCTGTTGTGCCCATGTCATAACTTTAGATTTTGGTGCAGCTTGTTGGATGAAAATTGCATTGCTTTCTACTTGGCTTAAGCTTGTGTAGGCAATTGTCCTGCATATGCAAG